CTGTCTGTCATATGCAAGTTCACAAACGTAAAATCAACACGCATTCTCTTCTGTGTAATGCAGCAAGCTGTAGCAGATCAATGTGTGTATGTGGCCAGATAATTCAGCTAAGGAAAAAAGTTAAAATTTTGAAAACAAACTCTGCTGTCAGATGAATGGACTCAAACCTGGAACCGACTTAAATCTCGTTTCGTGTCCCAGCCTGTGAACATAAATTCGAATTAAGGCTGATGTTTTATCCAAGAGCGAAAAAAGCTACAAGCTAGAAATTTTCACATGAAAATTTATTTAGCAAATAAAAATAAAAAATTTAAACTGGTTTGCTGTTTTAAGAAATGTGGTCATGAGTCAAGAAGCAAAACAAGCTAAAAACGCAAAATTCTAGAAATTTAAAATTCTTATGAAATTGCATTTTTGCGTCTTTTCAAAAATTTCTTGCACTGATAAAATGTATTTTGATCCAATTTCATCCATCAGTACATAATTAGACTTGAAAAATGAATAGTTTGGATTCAAAATTAGTCTCGTAGCATAGGATTGGAAGAGGTCTAAAAACTCAACTAGATTATTTAGTTTCTTGCAGACCGAAGTTAAATTGTTCAACAACATACTTATTTCACGTACTTATATCAAAGATGGTCTCGTGCAACGAGCTTTTGATTTGCATAAAATTTATAAGAGCAAGTTTTAGACTTTTAATTCATGTGAAATTTAGAAGTTTTTCCTTGTCAAATCAAACTTGTAAACAGTAGATTTATTAATTTCAGGGAAGGGTCATTTGCAGTATACGGTGGATTCTGCGCGACAAAGTCACTTCTTTTAAACACTTTCGGTACTGGGAACTGGGTGGAGTGGTTGGACTCCAGTAAGATAAACAATTTACTCAACAAGGTATGTGAATATTCCAATAGGACTGATACAGTTCACTTACTGATAACAAATTAAAATATCTAAAACAACAGGCTTTTTTTTTTTTCATAGACAAGCTGCGAATCAGAAGCACGCTTACGACGTGATGCATCCGAATCTCAGACGATCTTTTACATGACGCTTGCTGGCAAATCAAGGTTTAATTCGGTTTCTCTATCAGTATTCAATGGCGGCCATGGTCAGGTGATACCGATTCAGGAAACATCCAACAACCGTCCTTGGTGGAGTGATTTGAGAAAATGGTTATATATTGTTTATGTTGTTATGTTCATTTTCGGAGCTGGAACCATCATTTTCACAGCTGTCTTTTTGGCCAGATTCTTTCGTCGCCGTCAAGTGGTCGAGGATTACAACGCCATCAGTTCCTTTGGTCGACGGAGTGCAAAAATCGAAGAAACAACATCGCGAACATGGATTTGAGACATACTGCCGTGTATTCTAAAATTATTTCCATAGAGCAGCCCTCAAAGATTTATATTTTTTGCATTGCTGCGCTTGTCTGTTTTATTTTATGTGCAACAGTTTGAGTTTTCGCAAAATCACCTTCTATCTCAGTCATATCCGCCTGTTTAGCCACCCGTTTGTCTTTTCTCAACAATTTTGTATTTATTTTCGAGAGTCTGCCCTGTATTTTAAAAGTTGGTCCCAAGGTTATGATTTGGTGTGTTTTTTAAACCAAAAAAAAAAAAACGTCGTAGACTTTACTTATCATTTTCGTGAGTAAGCGGCGTGCTACCTTATCTTACACATCATTTCTGGAAACACATTTGATAATGCTTTTACTAGGATTTCAGCACCCTGTGAGGCCACAAATGTATA